TGGTGACCCTGCAGGAAGTGAGAGGAAATCTATACAAATTGAATGATGTACAGTGGGGACATTGCTCCCTGCTGCTTGCTAGAGTTTAGCTGTGACTCAGCAGCAGGGGCAGAATGTTGTCAGACTTGTGCAAAGAGACTGCTGCCTCCCTTTCATCACTTTCCACAACTTCCTGCATTCCCTGTGTGCTTTGCATCTCTTTCCCTGCTGCTTGCTGTGATGCAATCTCAAGACTACATATCCCATCGTGCAATGCTTCCAGTAAGCAGTGACAATGTTCCATTTTGGGAAGTTCAGACATTGAGTTGTAGTTCAGACGGCAGGCTTAGTTAGAGTGGCGATTCAGTACAGAAATACAGATTTTGTTTTTAACCATTTGATACCCTTTAAGAAAATTATAGCGTGTTCTTCTGTTGCAAATGTCTTTACTTGGAGATCCTGGCAGTTGTCAGCCTGCCATGTGCACTCCTTCAGTTGGCCGTTGTGCTACCTATCTAATAGTCCCAATATTAAGCCCAACAGCCAGGGCCGGATTTCCCACAAGGCCAACCAATGCCCGGCCTTGGGGCAGCAGGGAGTAGAGAGGCAGCAGGGGTGTGGAATTCCTATCTACCGATGCCGGGGACATGCAGTTCCGGGTGCCGGGCGGGTAGTGGTTTCCTACATTTAGCCCTGCATTGGGCAAGCAGAGCTAAATGTATAGCGGGAAAGGCGCCGCTTGTTTTGTACAAGTGATCTCAGTGATGTCGCCGAGATCACTTGTATGCAGCCTGCAGGGCTGCCATTCTCCATGGGAGAGGGGGGGGGGGGGAGTGGCATGTAGGGATGCGCATTGAGGAACCTGGCCTTGGGGCAGCAGAGAAAGTAAATCCGGCCCTGCCAACGGAAGGAGCACACATGGCAGGCTGGCAATGTTGCTGCTTATTGCGAAGTTGAAGCTTGGCATCCCATGGACTGGAGTTCCAGCAAGAAAAGTACGCAGTGCATGCTGCTCCTATTACAACTGATCAGGTTTGGCTGAACCATACGGTGACCACAGTAACCCCAAAACATGTAAGGCTAAGAAGGCCATGTGTTTTCCACCTTTGTCTCCACCACTTTTAAAGGACAGAACCTTTTTATTTTTCTGCAAGGCCCTGCATAGAACAAAAGACACATGCAAAGCACAGTAGCATTTAAAGCTGAACTCCAAGCAGTATACAAAGTAACACTTACAGGTCCCTCCCCCAGCCTGTGATTGGTTACTGAAAGGTGAAGGATCAAACGGACAAGCTTTTCTCTCTGTCACTCTGCTCTCTCCTCCTATCGATATGATCCTTGTTAGCACACAAGCACTGCGGCACAGACTTGCTCCTTGTGCCGCTTCTCCTTCTCTCAGCCTGAGCTCCGCTGTGCAGGGACTGAACAATTCTCAAATGGAGGTACTTACTTACACGGCTTGCAATTATAAAATACTTTTTAATGATGATGTATTAATAAATTACAGGACTGTGACTTTTATATCTGCCGCGAGTTCAGCTTTGACCAATCAAGACCTTACTGGATCGGTAAATGATGCATTCTGATTGGTGGCTGTAGGCTACTTGACTCAACACTTGACTAAGCCAGTCAGTGAGGGCGGAACACATATATTAATATACACTGGACCATGTATATTTGCAATCATATGTGATCGAACATATACACACACATGACCATCGTGCCTGTATATGTGCTGCATGGGTTTATGGTCATTTGCATTCGTATGTATGTGGTACCCATGCCAATGCACATCGATGAACAAACGTGGAAACAAAACAAACAAAAAAAGCCACGAGGTAAAAATCTGTATTTTAATCACATTTGATGATATGATAATAATGACAAAGCAACGCGCGCTCTCCTCGGATCTCTGTATAACCGGGCTGCGCATCTCTCTATAATGGAGATCACATGACCCAGCGTTCACTTTCATTAAACTCTGACTCTATAACGACTCTCAGCATCTTTGGACTTTTTGATAATAGATCATTTTACCGTGTTCAAAAATAAAAAATACACTTTTCAATACATTTTTTGTCTTTTTTTGCACTAGAATAGGAGAAAATACGAAATAACGAAAGCTTACGAACAACAAATAAGTCAGACAGATATTGTCAAAGTGTACCTGTCGCCACTACAGAGCCATTTTGTAGCAGATCTGAAACTCTCCAGGACCTCAAGCAATACAGCGGTATGAGGTTCATCACATGACCTGCGTCACAGGAGGCGGTCACTTGTTCCCAGTGCGCTCATTGGCTATGTTCTGATTTATATTTGGTTTGGATTTCAAAATGGCGGCCTCCACTTAAAGTATATCTGAAGCCAAAACCTTTAGTTTGGGTTAAAACCCCTGTAAAAGTGTTTTTTTTATATTATTTATCTGTCATTCGTTTGGGAGATTGTACTTCCTGTCCTATAGATGTATCAGGAAGTGAGAGGAAATCTCTCCAAAGTGAGGAACATCCGCAATAGTGTCCCCTTAGATAGACCTATATCTGTTCCAGTGACTACTCACATTTTTGTAATGTGACAATGGTTATTAGTTCTAAATAGAGCAAATTCCCCTAATTGGGGCACAGACAGCAATAAAAACATGGAGGAAGGGTGGAGAGGCAGCCTGAGGCTGTTGTCTTCGGCATCATGTCTTTGGGTCAAAGTGGGGGCGGGCGGCAGGCAGAGCGGCATGGCCACAAGGTTTGCACTGTGCCTGCTGCCCCCTTTCCGGCCAGAGCATGCCAGGTTGCTAAGAGCCGGGCGGGGGGAGATATATAAGGGCCGCACACATCTCCCCGCCCAGCTCTTAACAACCTGGCACGCTCTGGATGGTGTTCTACCCAGCCTCAGGTGGCAAAAAGGCTATGGGCACCCCTTGGTGGAAGCCAGAAGCCAGCTTGTTTTGCCTCTTCTTCAGGATCTGGACCAGATTACGTCAGAAAGTCCTTGGTAAAGCCCACATAGGATTTCAGTCCTTTCAATCTGGAAGGCTCAGCATCACATCAATGAAAGGGGCATGCCAGGGACAGTCAGGCTGGAGAGGAAAGAGCTAGATGGTACTGGATGTCCTCCAGCCAGGAAATGAGGCAGGCTCTAGGTGCACTGACTTGCTGCAGCTTCTAATGCACATTGTGTGAAGCTCACAGCGTGCAGTGACATCAGAGGAAGCCATTTCAGTCCAGGAGAGGAGCCGAGTACAACTGTGCAAGACTGAAGGGAAGGCCGGAGGTCAGCTTTAAGGTGAGGCTATTAACAACACCTGTTCCTGCTCGAGTTCAGAAGTCCAGACCCCAGACTTCTCCAGCCTTGAAGAACCCCACGAAACGTGTTGGCTTGTCTTGTTTATTCTAGACTTCCACCAGAGGAGTGTCACTTCTATCCTCCACCCTTCCTTCATGTTTCCATACAGACTGCCTATCAGTTTCCTAGGACTGGTAGAGTTGCCTACCACCCTCCACATAATGCAGCATCCTAAGCAGTCCAGCACTCCTTGCCCTTACCGCTGTACGAAGCAATAAAACTCTTCCCCACTCTATCCAAAGCTAGAAAAAAAATGTTTTGGCTTTTGATACACTTTAAAAAGAGAGGCAGCCACTTTCTGGCCTCTACCATCCTTCCAGAGTACGAGGCCTCTTCTATAATCGGAATTAAGGACATCACTGGTTTCCAACATATGAAAAAGATGATTGTTCAATCCAACCATAAAATGGCAGCTTCCACTCCTGTGAGGGGGAGACAGGTACTCTTTAAAGGGTCAGTCCACCCATCACTGATTTTTCCAGATCTGGCTTCACTCTCTCTGTTATGTGACATGTTTTGGACCCTCCAGAGTTCCCAGTTCTACTATAATGAAGGGCGTCTCACCTTTCTTAGTGCAATTTACATCCGCATAAGCAAAATGACGCAGCAGGAACAAGACTCTGTGCCAGGGGCAGAATCGGGAACTCTGGTGGGGACATCTTGGGATTTAAAAAATTAAAACCAGCCACCAAGTTAGGAAATATCCCTATAAGGCGGACCGACTCTTTAAAGGGACAGTCCACCGAAAAAACGATATTGCAGATTTTGTTGGATGCTGGAGAGTTAAACTACCAAAAAGAGTTTCTTATATCCTATGGGTACTATTCTGAATATGAGTATATGGGCAGGGGCGTCCCGAGCCTGGGTATCACCCGGAGCGGAGACCGGGTGACACCCCGCCGTGACATTGCCGCGCGCGATGACATCATAGCGCACACTCGGTTGTCTTATCGACACCTGCCGGCGGCCATCTTGGTGCTGGACGCCGGCAGAGAGAGGAGGGGACATTCACCCGGCGGAATGAGGTATGCCACCGGGTCCACCTCCTCTCTCCTGACACTGTCGGGGTCTCGGTCCGTGACCGAGTGCCTGTCTTTTCAGAGGGGGTGACACCAAAATGACGGTGAGTCATTTTGAGGTCACCCCTCCAATGGTGTCACCCGGGTGCGGGCTGTACCCCCTGCATGATGCCACTGTGCATGGGTACTACACTGCTGCAACATCCACAGTCTATAAGAAACCAGGGGATGACTCAGATCACAAGGCTCCGCCTACCACGAAAATATCACTCTTGAGTGGACTGACCCTTTAAGTGATAGGCACAGTGTCCTGATATATAGGGAGGTTTGCAGCTTAATCAGGGAATTTCATTGGTTGTTAAAAAAACAAATCTTTGCCACACCGGACAAAACGGAAAACACTTTCTCGAAAACATAAGTGCGTAAAGCTTCTAAAAAGAAATATATATATATATAAACAAAATACCATATACAGCATTTATATAGGAGAACAGAGCACCACATTGATACGGCACACAAAGACCAATAAATAGGTGTTGGCATTAGGAGTCCTCGTGACGGAAGGCCTGGCTCGTGTCCTCGGGGTGTACCGGCGTGATCTTTGTGCTCAGCAGCGTGTAGATATATGGCCAGATTTTGTTGGTCTCTGTCCCTGAGAAGGTGTGCAGGATGCCTTTACCCCTACAGAGAAAGAAAGATGAACTGATCAAGACTAAGGAACCGGTTGAAGAATTGGGCCAATTGGAATCGCAAATTGGTTTTATTGTGGGTCTAAATGGGGGTTTCTCCTAGAGCAGTGGTTCTCAACCTGTGGGTCGCGACCCCGTCGGGGGTCGAATGATGATTTGCCAGGGGTCGCCCGGGAGTCTCCCGCTATTAGATATAGGCTCCCGGCTGCCCGGGAGAGAAACACTTTCTCCCGGAAAGGACCTTTCCCTGCGATCGTTTTTGTTTTTTTCTGACATCGGGAGCCGCCGGAAGTCCGAAAAAAAAAAACCACGATAGGAATGCATAGCTAGATTCCTATTGGCTATTTCACTTTGCAGTACTCCATCAGGTCCTCTTCTAGTGATTGACAACCGCAGAGGGCGGGTGCAATAGCTATTTTGCTATTGCAAAGTGAAATAGCCAATAGGAATCTAGCTATGCATTCCTATGCTGTTGATGGTGGACCCATTAGGAAAGTATGGTGTGTTCAGGCTCAATTGAGGTCTTAACCTGCTACCTCTCTGATCATGAACTGCTCATCAGAACATTAGCTCATAGATATGTGGGTAGTAGCATCTACAAATGGTCATCTCATTTGGAAATCCCTTATTTCTTGAACAAGAGACCTCTAACTATCTACCAATTTGGGAGTTACCCGAGGTGTAGTTTGCTGTATAGCCTAGACCAGGGCTGTATTAGGGCTAAATGTCAGCATGACCTAACCAAGGCAGCCAAAAGGGTGAGATGACCTTTTATTACTATCTCCCCCAACTCACATCCATGACATGGAGAGCCTGTTCATCTTCTAGGCTGGAGACTGCATGGGGTCATTTTTAGGACCTGCTGCAGAAGGAGGTCATCTGCCAGTCAGAGGAACCTGAGAAGTAACTCAGATGGAACTTAGAAGCATCTCCGACAGTTCCCAAACGCAAGGTGAAGTCACCTGAAAACGTGCTGCATTCAGCAAGCTACACAAGCCCTTGCTTTTTACAAAAAGAATATGTCGACCTTCAAAGGGAACCTGTCACCAGAGCATATATTGTATAGACTGGAACAACTGTGTGAGAGGAGGAAGCCACCAAACCTGAAGTGTGCACAGTAGCCTAATTTAGACTTCGCTCTAAGAAGGGGCTCCAGTAGGCACCTTGATTCCCACAAAGCCACCAAGGCATTTCTCAATAGGTTACCGAGGTACCTGAATTGTATTATGGGATATGTAGTGTACCCAAGCCTTGAAACGGGCCTTTGTCAACATCTACAGACTCTGTATGTATACATTATATACCTCTTACTGACCCAGCACCGCTTCCTCCTCCACTATCTAACAAGTCACACACACTGTCCTCTTATATACATCTTACTGACCCAGCACCGCTTCCTCCTCCACTATCTAACAAGTCACACACACTGTCCTCTTATATACATCTTACTGACCCAGCACCGCTTCCTCCTCCACTATCTAACAAGTCACACACACTGTCCTCTTATATACATCTTACTGACCCAGCACCGCTTCCTCCTCCACTATCTAACAAGTCACACACACTGTCCTCTTATATACATCTTACTGACCCAGCACCGCTTCCTCCTCCACTATCTAACAAGTCACACACACTGTCCTCTTATATACATCTTACTGATCCAGCACCGCTTCCTCCTTCACTATCTAACAAGGCACACACTGTCCTCTTATATACATCTTACTGACCCAGCACCGCTTCCTCCTTCACTATCTAACAAGTCACACACACTGTCCTCATATACATCTTACTTATCCAGCACCGCTTCCTCCTTCACTATCTAACAAGGCACATACTGTCCTCTTATATACATCTTACTGACCCAGCACCGCTTCCTCTTCCACTATCTAACAAGTCACACACACTGTCCTCTTATATACATCTTACTTATCCAGCACCGCTTCCTCCTTCACTATCTAACAAGGCACACACTGTCCTCTTATATACATCTTACTGATCCAGCACCGCTTCCTCCTTCACTATCTAACAAGTCACACACACTGTCCTCATATACATCTTACTTATCCAGCACCGCTTCCTCCTTCACTATCTAACAAGGCACATACTGTCCTCTTATATACATCTTACTGATCCAGCACCGCTTCCTCCTTCACTATCTAACAAGTCACACACACTGTCCTCTTATACATCTTACTGATCCAGCACCGCTTCCTCCTTCACTATCTAACAAGTCACACACACTGTCCTCTTATATACATCTTACTGACCCAGCACTGCTTCCTCCTCCACTATCTGATGAGACAAACATCAACCCCTTTATACAGAAAGGGGAATCTTCTAAGTCTGGAGCAGACAGAATCTGGAGTAACTGCACATTTCAGCCAATCATCTTCTCTCTTCCATTTTCAAAGCTTAACTGAACCATCTGAAGATAGAATCTGATTGGCTACTACGCACATGTGCTCCAGATTCTGTCTGCTCCGGGTATAGTGACTTCCTACCAGAGAGCTCAATCTTCATTTTCCTGTCTCTTAATCTAAAACAAAGATTCCCACCCGGTCAGGTCATGTTTTCCGGATCTCTTTGTAGAATCAAAGGCAACGTGATTTGTATATTCCTTGTAAACACCAAAAAGTGTCACGTTTGCCTGGAAATCCTGAAAACATGAACTGCCGATAACGACCGAGGACAACATTTGATGATCATCATTGCTCTGGAACGCAGATTGCTTTGTGCGGAGCTCTCACGTCTATGTTGTATATTGATTGCAGTGATTTGTTTATCTCTTTATAATGATTTCTCTGTATTATTGACCCCCGTGTATCACAGCCTGCAACGTAGGATGACAAATGTCGTTTTCATGGAGAAGAAAGGAATTCGTAGACTTCCTTCAGAATGAATTTGCAACTCTGCCAGAGGAGATCTCATCCTGAAATAACCCCGCTGTGCATCGCCCGCCTACCCCGTACACCTATGAGATTTCTACAGCAGCCAATGGGAAGGGGACAGAGCTGTGGATGGAACTCCCTTGTGCTGTGCTATTATGTAACAAGCTGAATCCCTTTCC